GCATTTGAATGGGTGCTTCCCAACTCTGAGAGCCGCTAGAAATGTTAGCTAGCGTCAATTACCCAAGATCGGCGTCCTCCCGCTTCTCCTAGCTCCATCACAGAGAGCTCGGGCGGAACACGTCTCAGCCTTCTTCCGCGGAGGGCCCTTCAGGTCCCAGAAGACATCCTGGGGGTGTCTGCCTCTAAGTCCCTCAGGCAAGTAAAATCCCACGGCAAGAGGAGCTAACTCGGCCCTTCCTTTTTCTTCCTTCCTCCTCTTCTTCCTTCCTTTCTTTTTTTCCTTTTTTCTTTCTTTCCTCCTCTCTTTCCTTTTTCTTTCTTTCTTCCTTCCTACCTTCCCATTCTTTCTTTCTTCCTTTTTCTCTTGCTTTTTCTTCCTTTTTCTTTTTTTCTTCTTTTCTCCTTTCCTTTCTTCCATTTCATTTTTGCAAAACGGCTCTTCCTGGTCCCTTCTGAGGTTTTCTTGGGCTTTATTATCACTCCTTTTACCAGTGCTTTGTAAGTATTAAGTCACTTCATCCTCTGCTTCCTGGGCATCAGGGCCCGGAACGCCAGGGCCAGTGGGCGGGGGGCCTGGGGCAGGGGCAGGCACCAATAGGACTGTCTGCCTGAGACCTGGCGCATGAGTAATAAGGCAGCTGTTGAGACGGACGGTGTCAGCACAGGTCAACACCACTAGATCAGTTTTATTGGGCTATCAATAACACTGGCCTTTTCTCCCATTAAAAGAATTAACAGAACCAACCTCAACCTTTCCAGAGGAGACGAGAGGGGCCTTTGCCAGAGACCGACCCTAAATCCCGTCGATCAACAGGACGGTCGCTGGCTCAGTAGGCAAAGATCAGCGCCATGAGAGGGATGGCTGCCCGGCCAGAGACATTACAGGGGATGGGGGAGAGCCAGGAGGCAGCTGCAGCGATCGCTCTGGAGGGGATGAGGACCAACGTTCATACGAAGTTATGAAGATCAAATGATATTGTATTTGTAAAGACTTAGCACAGCACCTGGTACATAGTAGGTGTTTAACAAATGCTTTAAACATAATGCTCTGAGGTTCACAAGACACTTTCTGTATTATCTCAGTTGATGGTCACCACGGCCCTGTGAGGCAGGTACCATTATGATGCTTCATGTAAGAAGGTGGCTAGAGGGTGTGACGGATGGAGCTTTGGTCCTGGAGTCTGGAAGACTGGAGGTCAAATCTGGCCTCAGATACTGAGCTGTGTGACCCTGGACAAGTCCCTTAACTCGTGTGCCTCAGTTTCCTCAACTGTACAGTGGGAATAATAACAACATCAACTTTCCCGGGTGGTTGTGAGGATCAAATAAAATAATATTTGTAAAGCACTTAGCAGAGTGTCTGGCACATAGTAGGTGCTATACAAACATTAGCTATCATCATCATGATTTATTATTGTTACTATTATTTTAAAGATGAAGAAGCTAAGGCTGAGGGCAGTTAAGTGACTTGTCCAGGGTCACACATCTTTTAAGTGTCTGAGGCAGGGTTCAAACTGAGGTCTTCCCGACTCCAAATCTAGCACTCTTGCCACCATACTACAAATCCCTCCTCTGCCCGAATGTCACAGTGTCACTCCTTTGATGAAACGGGTACCATGCAGCTGTCTCCGTTTGGGAAATCCAAACTTACCCAATTGACAAAGCACTTGGCACAGTACCTGGCACACAGCAGGCACTTAATAAATGTTTACTGAATAGCAGTGAGGGGAGGGGGCTTCCCACTGCAGAGTCACAAGCACCTGGGGGCCACCTTGCCTGGTCCGAGCAGCTGCTCCCCCAGCTCATGCTCGAAGGCCTCCAGTGAGGGACCCCCCACACAAGGGGGTCCGATCCACTTTCCTGGGGCTCTGACTCGGTAAGTTACTCTTTCCATAGGCTTTCAGGGGCCGCTCTGCCACCTCCTCCCATCGACTCGTCCCTCGTCCTCTGGGACCAGGCTAATCCCTCCTTCACGGGGAGGCCTTTCAAACACTCCAGACCAATTTCATGTCCTCCTCCAGTCCTCTCCGGGCTCGGCACCCCCAGCTCCTTCCAGCACCCTCCCGTGCTGTGATGGAGGGGACCACGGTGGTTCTCTGGTTCAGCCTCCCCCCCACCCCCCGGGGGCTCACCCCGTGCAGGGCCGCCACCAGCTTCGGAGGCAGCCAGGTCCCTTCTGGGACCCGGTGACTGGGAGAAAGTTCCTCATACAGGGCGGAAAGGTCTGTGTCTGCAGCTCGTTCACTGGTCTGTGTTCCACCTTCAGACACCAAACAGGTCAGAGGCAATGGGGTCTCCTGGAAAATACGCCATCCCCAGACCCAGAAGAGTCGAAGGTCCTAGGTTCAAATTCTGTCTCTGACACTCCTTGCCTTAGGCAACCCCGGGCCTCGGTTTCCTTGTGCGCCAAATGAAGGGCTTGGACCATGTTCAGCATCCACGCAGCAGGCGTTTAGCCAAACTCTGAAGACTTCACCTGTTCATGCCCAGGTCATCCTGGGGCCTCTCTGTCTTCACGGGTGGCTGCCTCGGTTGCCCATCACATCTAGGCTTGGGAGGTAACCACACTTCCCTTCACTACCTGGACTCCCCTCACACACGCCCCCTGAGCCCCGCCTGCCTGCCTCTTTCCAGTGCATTAATTAATTAAACCAATTAAACATAATTAAGCTGGCATCACCATTCCTGGAAAGGGCACGCTGATCGATTCTCAGTCAGCTCCCGTCACCAACTCTGTAAATCTCCAAACCATTTCCAGTCCATCTACAACTCTCAAGAGCCGTTGTCTCCCTGTGTTTGGATAGAAGCTTCCTGAGGGCCAAGACCGCCTTTACCTGTGAGTTTGCATCTCCCTAGGTTGCCCCCTCCCAGACCCAACTTAGCACACAGTAGGTGCTTTAAAAATGACACATCATCCCTGGTCTTTATAGACTCCCCCTGGGCATGGAAGGCCTGGCAACCTTCATCCCAGGCATACTTCATTGTAGGCACAGAGAAAACCATTCCTCCAGCTTGCCAGTCACATCCACGCCCTGGGCTGGGGGCAAGGCAAGGCCTAGGGGGTCTGCTTCACAGAGAGAAGCCTACTTAGCATCCCTCCTCCCTGGGCCTCCCCACCAAACTGCCGAGAGATTGACTGGCCCAAGAAGGAAAGGGGAAAAACAAAAAATTAAGGGGAAAAAACAGCCTCCCCCCCCAAAATCTATAGATTTAATGTATTTGCTTCGGGAAATAACACCGCACTATGTGAGCCACTACTCACGCAGCAGATTGATAAATCAACAGGTCCCTAAAACTCATCCTCGACAACATCCCTCACGAGAGACCAGAGATTCTGACCAAGATGCGACTCTCCAGGGGCGTCTCGGCCAGGTACTGAGCACCTGAGCCTTCGCTAATTAGAGAATTCAGTCCCACACACCCGTGGGAGGGAGGACCTCTGTCCTTTTCCCTTTAAACTCAGAGAAGACAGACAAAGGGGCATATACACAGGCATACATATACACGTCTACAATGTATAGGAATGTGACCAGGGCTCGAGTCCGGTGCAGACTGACCTCTCAATGCTTGGCCCCCCGACCAAGGGGCAGTGCTGGTTCAAGGCTGGGAGCCAGACCATGGCAGATCTCTCTTCTCCCAAACCCTTCGAAGCTCTGAATGTTAATCTCCACCGATAAAATAAGATCTTATGCATCTTATACAGTTTTCCTCAACTGTAAAATGGGAATAATAATGGCATCTACCTCGAAGGGTTGCTGTGAGGATCGAATAAGACAATAACTGCAAAGCAGTAAGCACAGTGCCTGACACATAGTAGGTGCTATATAAACATTAGCTATCATCATCATGTGTGTTCTCAGTTTCCTCAACTATAAAACAAATTATAACAGCACCTAACCTTTGCAGGGCTGTTGTGAGGATCAAATAATGATTGCAAAGTAAGCACAGTGCCCGGCACATAGCAAGTGCTATATAAATGTTAGCTATCACCACCACATGCTTCCTCAGTTTCCTCATCTGTAAAATGGGAATGATGACAGCACCTACCTCACGGGGGTTGCTGTGAGGATGAAAGGAGACAGTATTTGTAAAAGCACTTAGCCCAGTGCCTGGCCCACAGTAGGCACTTCATCAATCCTCCTTCCCTTCCCCTGCCCTTCCCCCCTCCACCACACCGTGCTACCACTAGACTGCTGAAGCCTGGTCATCCCCCTTTCTCTTCCAAGTCTCAGGAAGCCCAGGATGGCTTTGAGCTGTAGGTCGACTCATGAGCACTTATGATTACAGGGCACTGAGCTGCGCTCTGGGGATACCAAAGACACATAGAGTGTGGATGGTGCCTGCCCTTAAGGCACTTACAATCTAGTCGGGAGAAAGCAGACAAATGAAAAAAGCAATCAACAATGCAAGGTAACACAGGTCAAATGCTGCACGGAGGAGAGGGAGAGCGTGAGCCACAGAGGGCTGGAGGAGACGGGCAGCGCACGAGGGATGCCCGAGGGCCGGCGTCATGCTCCAGATGGGACTGGAAGGATGAGCGCTCTAGAGAGGGAAAGCCATTCCATGCAGGAGAAACAGAAGCCGAGACACAGAGAACTAGGGACCTGCGGGGCTGGAACACAGGACTCAGGAGGAGCCAGCGTGCTGCCGTGAATCCCTCGCGTTCAGAGCAAGGAGGGGCCGTAGCGATCGCCCTGTCCTACCCGTCCATTGGACTGATGAGAAAACTGAACCCCCAAGAGAGGAGATGATCGGCCCGATGCTTCGGCTGAGCTTCTGAGAATGGGCAAGTCTCACCTCCCAACTTTGCAACTGAGAAGTTACACCTGGAAGTGAACACTCCGGCCTCCCGCTGAGCACCTCCTCTGTTTGGGGACTCAGCCTTTCAGGGGTGAAGCCCGGTCCTCTTCAGCCTCCCTCTCCAAACCTACCCTCCACCCCCAGACTGGCCCACACGGAAAGGAAGCCCGCTCCGGGAGACTGGGGATGGCGACGTACCTTGGTGAGGTCCATTCCAAAGCGGAGCTGTGAGATCAGGTGGATGACGACATTGTGGTGGTCCTCCGGCTGTCCTGGCATATCCTCCCCATTTTCATCACTATCAGTTTCCTCCTCATTTATCCTAATTTCTTGCAAAGTTGTTCCCTGGAACAGAAACACCAACAAATTCTACCACCAGGACAAGAAGGCTGAACCAAGATGGTGGGTAGAGGGGCAGGGTGTTCCACGTGGGGATACACACCACATTCCTCACCGGCTGAGCCTAGAGCTGGGTCCCCCTGGGGCATGAAGCTCTTCTGTCAGTACAGCGTAGCACAAAGATGACAGGAATCAGAGGGGCCCAGCTTTGCCATCCCGGTGGCCTTGGAAAGTCACTTTCCCTCTGTGGGACTCAACTTCCTCTTCTGTAAAAAGGAGGGGTTAGAGCAGGCGGCCACTAAAGGCCCTTCCACCTCTAGACATATGGTCCTCTGTATATGACATGTTAAAAAAAAAAAACATAATGAGAGCATCACTGTCTAAATTCCCCTTTGCTGTCTCCATTAACACCTCATCTATTCCTCCGAGAAAACAAAAAAACCTACTTATGGTCAGTTTTCATGATCTTGAACATTCTGTTATATATGTGACCTAAAACTTAAAAAAAATTAGGCATTAAGGAGTATTCACTCGACACTCAAGGTCCCACTCTTAGCCCACCCCTAACATGATGGGGGACCTCCTTGTGACAATCTTACTGGAGGACACCCCGAGCTGCCCAGGGTGAATTAAATGAGATTCTGTGCCACTGGAGGGAATATCCCAGCCCCTCGGATGACCTTGAGTACCAGGTATTCAGTAAGCAGGACAACATTGAGAGAGAGCACATGTGAGTGATAAGATCCCTTCAAATGAGGGGCCACTTTCAAAGCATTCACAGGGTACGGCTGGATGTCCTGGACAGGCACCAGACACAACCCCTCACTCTGGGGCGAAGAGACCTCCCAATGACTGGAGCATCTCTAGGCACACCCGTCTACAGCAACATGGCGGTGATGGGAAAAGGTCATTGCTTCACAGTTCATCAACCCAGAGATGCTCTCTTGGTTAAGGGAGGAGCTTCAACATTGGAGAGGAGAAAAAATCACACCCAAGTGTTTCAGTCACGGCAGGGCGAATTCCAGCGAGCAAGCCCAGCTTTCCTGGACTCTCTGTGTTGCAAGCCTCCCACTTCGTTGTCGTGGCTCAAAAGATGGGAAAACTGAGTTTGCAGACCAATGGGCAGAGCAAACATGAAGCCAAGAATGCCATGACAAGGAAGTCTCTAGCTGAAGACCACCAGGAGTTGGGCCTACAGCCAGGACAACACTGCGCCGTGTTGTGGGTTCAGAAGCTCAAGTCGTACCACATGCATGGACCCTGGTACTGCAAGCAGTGGAAAACAGCCCTGGACTTCATGTCAGAGGACCCAGGTTCAAATCCCTACAGGGTCACTTGTGTACTCCAAGGCCCCTTCCAAATCCATGTGCTTTGTATCAACTGTGTATGCATCTTCATACACATAATACACACACACACACACACACACACATAAATGTGCTTGTCTCCCCCACTAGAATGTAAGCTCTCTGAGGGCAGGGTTTATTTCACTTTTTCTTTGTATCCTCACACAATGTCTGGCACTTAGTAGGTGCTTAATAAATGTGTATTGATTGATCTATTCCTGCCTCTTAGCAAAGTAAGTGTTTTTGTTGTTGTTCAATTGTGTTCAACTCTTCACGACCCCATTTGGGGTTTTCTTGGAAGAGAGACTGGAGTGGTTTGCCATTTCCTTCTCCAGCTTATTTTACAGATGAGGAAACCGAGGCAGACAGGGTTAAGTGACTTGGTGAGGGTCACACAGCTAGGAAGTGTCTGAGGCTGGATTTGAACTCAGGTCTTCCTGACTTCAGACTCAGCACTCTGTACTGACCCAAGATAATTTTAGCAAAGAAATAATTTTAATCATTTCCAATGATCTACAACCAGTCCGTGGAGGTGACTCTTTAGTCAGCTCAACAAATACTTACCACCTATCACCTGCACACTACACTGATGGGGATCCAAAGGGAAACATGTCATAGGACTTGCCCTCAAAAGCTTACAGTCATGTAGGGCCGTAGTGTTGAACTCAAATAGAAACAAGGCCACTAAATCATGCATAAGGATCCCTGCAGGCCTCATATTGTCTTAAAAAAACCACATACTAACATTATGTTCTATTATATTTTGGTGGACAGTGAGGTGGTGCAGTGGATAGCGGTTGGGTCTGGAGTCAGGAAGACCCGAGTTCAAATCTGGCCTGAGACACTTACTAGTGTAACCCTGGCCAAGTCATTCCACCTTGTTTGCCTCAGTTTCCTCATCTGTAAAATGAGCCGCAGAAGGAAATGGCCAACCACTCCAGTCTCTCTGCCAAGAAAACCCCAGATGGGGTCATGAAGAGTCAGACATGAATAAATGACAACAACAAATTATATTTTTATTTATTTTGTATTTCAATATTTCCCAATTACGCCTTAATCTGGTTCTGCCCAGCTTGAAAGTATTGGGGGTGGGGGGGGGGGAAAGGAGTTAGCCCACCACCAAGCGTCTGACACCTCTGATGCAGGAGAATAAGATATAAACACAAATGACTCTGATACAATCTAGAATGTGCTAGATTTGAAGAAATCCCGGGAGAATGTACTAGGTGCAAAAGAGAAGTCAAGACAAGAGATAAGCCACGGCATAAGAGATCCTGGGAGCTTGAGGGCCGAGGGACCTGCAGGGAGCCTCCTCTGAGGGTGAGCTCATCGTTCACGGAACACCCCCTCTGAGCTCACAGCTCCTGGGGAGACAGTTTTAGAGTTCTGCAAAAATGCGTGCAAAATAAATTACAAACAACCGGAGGCTGCCAACACGTCAGATTTTATTGGAGTCATTTCATCAAGCGGCAGACAGTTCCTTTGGACACCATGCGAGATCCCTGTGGCTGTCCATGCTTGGACTCTAGAGGAGAGAGAAGCGCTCACACAACGCTGTCTCCCCTCCCTTACCTCGGAACAGTCTCTGGAAACTTAAGGGAGGTAATCCTTTCCTTCCCCTAATCAAGCTCCATTCCCCCATACAAAACCCCCAAGCTTAATTTACTTCCATCACTCACAAACAATGTGGTTATACAGTGGTCAGAACACAGGCAATCATCTGTCTTAATGCATATATTTCCATTGACTTCAACAAGGACTTATTACGCTTCTACAAAACACTCGACTTGGTGCTAGAAGCTGGAGATACAGAGATGAGAACCATGCAGACCCCCCTTTGAGAGAGCTTATGATCTACTGGGGGTTGGGAGGGGGGAGAGAGGAAATTGGAACAAACACACAGCTAAGTAGGGTACGAGGGGATAGGGGAGGGACGGCAGCCAAGCTGAGCTTAGATAAAGTGATAGAGAAAGGCTGGAGAAGGTGACCCCTTCAGGGCCGGGCCCCCACGGCAAGGTCCAGCCCTAAGACTGACCAGCTTTCTGACCCTCACACCCAGATTGTCCTGTACAGACCCACAGGAAGGAGAAAGATCATCCGACCAGAAAGAGAGGACCTGGGCATGACCTGTGTGTCTTTAAGCAAGGAGCCTCACTTCATGGGGCCTCAGTTTCCTCTTCAGTAAAATGAGGGGGCTGAGGACTGAGCCCCCTCTAAGGTCCCTTCCAGCTCTGTATCCTATGATTCTGTCTGAAAACAGCCAAGGGAAGCTTCCTTTAGTAGGTTCATAGCACCACAGGAACAAAAGCTGTGAGGGACCTTAGGGAAAGCATTTATTTTACAGATTAGGAAACTGAGTCCAATAGAAGTAAAATGACCTGTTCAAGATTCTATGGATAATAAGTAACCGAAGCAACATTTGGATCCATCTTCTGCCTCCAGAGCCAATGTCCTTCCTAGTATGCCACACTCCAGTGACCGAGCAATGCCTTATACAATCCTAGTGCACACAAGACTGGAGACAGGAAATAGAACCCTTGCGCGATGCTGAAATCCAACACTGGGGAGCTCACAGAAGAAGGGGAGTAGGGAGAGACTCCAGTCAGTTCAGTCTCTACAGAAGCTCTGAGATCCCTGATATCACACTGGTTTTTACTACCACAATGTCAGTCTTGCTAGAAAGCACTCCCAGAATTGAATGGCTAAAGTTAAAGTTCTATACTAAACACTGAAAAAAATCTTTACTCCCACCCCCCATCCTCTAACCCGATTTATTTTTGCCCCTTCTCACCCCATTCTCTATTCCCAGCAGCTCTTCTAATTTCAGAAGCATTTGAAAGAAGAGATTGAAATTCATTTCCTATGAGTCTATAGTTTTCCTTCTTAATCAGGGGACCCTGAGACCAACAAGTATCAAAGGAAATATGTCCTAACTGAAGCCTCCCTTGACCCTACTATCCCCACTGCTCTCTTCCCTTTCTTAGCCAAATGCCTGAAGAAAAGCCATCTACATTTACTACCTCCACTTCCTTTACTCTCACTCCTCTAAGCTTGGAGAGCATCCCTACTTATCTCTGCTTCTGGGGGAAAAAAGTGTGTTGTAAAAAGAAGAGATATCAATTAACCTTTTAAAAACAGGCACTACTACTACCGTTCTCTGAAGAAGAACTCAGCAGATTGGTAGGTGATTGTCTGTACTATAAGCATTTTCCCAAACCCAGAGGTAGTGACCAAAATATTCACCCACTTAGCGAGCATTTATTAAACACCGAGTATGTGCCAGCCACATAGGTGATATTACTATGAAGTAGGGGCTACTATTGTCTCCATTTTACAGAGGGGTAGTAAGACATTAGGATAGGAGGGTGGATCAGAAAAGAACCTGAAGGGAGCTAGGGATTCTGAGGCATGAAAGGGAGAGGGAGAGAATTTCAGGTATGAGGGACAGACTATGCAAAGACACAGAGATGGAAAAATGGCACATCGTAAGAAGGAACAAAAGAAAGTAGGCCTGGAAAGGCAGGACGAAGCCCCTTTGGGAAGGGCTTTCAAAGCCAAACAGAGAATTTGGGTTTCATCCAAGAGGTGGCCACTGGAGCTTTCTAAGTACACACATCTTTATTTTTGTTCCCCATAAGAAAGGCATTTTCTACCCAGGGCTAGGCTCCTACCCCAAAAAGACACAAAAGGGAATGCTTTTTAAGAACTCCCAGACGACAAAGTTACTCAATTTTAAGCACAAAGCATTTCCACCTCAGAAGAGAAAAACAAAGGATGAGTTCAAGCCAACCTGCTCAAAGACGTCAGGGTTTTCCAGACAATATTGCCTTCTGATGACCCTTTTCCTGAGGATGCCCACTTCTAATTGGTCTAGATTAGCTAGCAGGCTGGGAGAACCTTCCTTTCCTCTCTCTCTGATAAGCTCTGCATGACCAGTGTTTACAATCCACATGCAACCTGCTTCCTCCCACTGTCTCGCTCATTCAAAAACTAAACACAATTTGTCTTTGATTCCATCAAGAGAGAAGCCTTCCAGAGAACAGCCAAGTAAACACATTAATTTTAATACCAACCTCCCAGTTCTTCCCACTTTGAATCAACACCATGTGCTTGTATGTTCACATAATTATTCCCCAACATTCTGGCTCCCACAGAGAAGGAAAGCAGCTGAAAATCCCCTGCGGCAAAACCAGTCCATCTTCACCAACATCGGGGGGTCGTCCGTTAGAAGTGTCCTGTTTTCAGCTCCATTCCCCAAAACAAAATTCAACCAGCACTGTTTCCAGTGGCCTTGAAAGACCAGGCAATACATTTAAGCCCAAAGCTCTCCCAACTGGTTTGCTTATTTTGTTCACAGAACAACACTGGACCCAGCCTCTGCTTGAAGACCCACAGCAAAGAGGGACCACCCCCCCCCATCCTGAGACAGCCCAGTTGCTTCTGGAGAGCCCTCATTCAGGGTGAAGCTGTTTTTTTGTTGTTGTTTTTTTGCCATCAAGCCTCAATTTGCCCCTAACTTTTAACAGGTATGCCCTGTTCTGCCCTCTGGGACCACACTAAGCAAAAATCTGTCTTCTATTTGAAGTCTCTGCAGAGACTTAAAGAGGGCAGTCACATCTCACCTGAACCCAGTACTCACAAACATGTCTTCTCTTCTCCAGCTCAACAGCCCTACCAGGCTCTTCTGCTCTCCAGATCACCAATGTCCTCAGACTCCTAGTCCATTACAATGGAAACTCCTTGAGGGCTGGCACTTTTTTTTTTTTTGCCTTTCTTTAGATCACCAGCTCTTACTTAGCAGTTCCTGGCACACAGCAGGCACTTAATAAATGCTTGATGACTGACTCAATAAAATGTGGCACCCACACCCAACCATAATACTCCAGGTACAGTCTGGACCAGGTCCCAAAACAGGACCATCAAATCCTTGGCCCTGGATGCTATGCTTCTCTTAATGAAGTCTTAATTCGATCTGCCTCCTTGGCTGACATACACCATCCTTGACTTGTATTCAGTGTGCCGTCCACTGAAAGCCCCAGATCTCTTTATGGTGAATTATTCTCTAGACAAACTGCTGCCATCTTGGATTTGTGAAGCCAGTATTTATGAACCCAAACATTCAGACTTTACGTTCATCCCTATCGTTGAAGCAAAAAGAACTTTGCATTTAGATTACAATCATATTCATTAGAGGCACACGGTGTCATATAAAACCAAACCACGCTGTACAGAGAGAGTAGGCTCCAGGTCAGCCAGTGACCCCGGGCCATCAGAAAGAGCTCTGGGTAATGGACGCCATCAGGCAGCGTAGGGGGTCCTACATTCTCCAGAGTCCTTTAGGGAGCTGTTTTTGGCTTAACAGCCGCATGACAAATGTGACCCATCAGGATTGTTTATCCCAAGGAATCAAACTCAAAGTTAACAAGACAGCATATAAATTCAAGGATACTCCAACATGAGACCTTACCAGTCGTAAATCTTCCAACAAACAACTTTAGGGTCTTGTTACCTTTTCAGAACAGAAGGCCTTTGGGTTCCTGTTCACCTCTCCCTTACCAGGACATATACAGAGGCCCGATTACAGTCTGGGGCCCTAACTTCTCAGCTTCTTTCTATTATTACAATTTGTCTTATTAGATTTAGCCCAAGTGGTGACCTGTAATGCAAAAGGCCTCTATCACTGAGCATCTTTGTGATTCCTCCCTCTAAGCTTTTTGCCATCCAAAGACCCAATAAATATACCATCCAAGCTTCAGTCAGCAAACATTTACAAAAATAATAACAATGGGCCTTTAGGGCTTTTAACGTTGGCAAAGCATCCTAGATACCTTTTCTCATTTGACACAATCAGCAATCCTGTAAGATAAAGACAAGAGGTTTTAATCTAGATTTTTCAGATTTGCAAAATGCGGGTCAGAGGGGTTAAAATCACCTTCCCATCATCACAAAAGTAGCTTGAAACTCTCCTGACCCCAAATCCACTTCACTCTCCATGTTGCCCCTCCATGTTCCTATGGAGCAAGGGACCATGCTAGATAAAGAAGTAAGTTGTTCCCTGCCCTCAGGGGGCTTATCCACATAGCATGTACACATTCCCTACCCAAATCCCAGTATTTATGCATTTACTGACTCAAAAAGGCAGCATGAAGTTGGTTCTAGGCTTGGTCATTCCCACTTACTAATAGCGACCCTGCTCCATCTCTCAACCTCCCTGTGCTTTAGGCAATGGACTAGGACTTAACTAAGCCATCACGTAAACAGGTGGGGGGAGTCTCCCTACGATGACAAAATCACAGAACTTTAGCATTCAAAAGTACTAGTGTATCAATGTGGAAGTAAGGCCCTCCTTAAATGCTTGCTGATGGACTGATTTATCTACAAGGCAATTTCCTACCAGTCAATTCATGACTGGGCAGGGGAGGAGGGAGAGGGACTGCCTTCTTTATAAGCATCCTCTACAGCAGACTGAAACCTGTTAGAGAGGGCTTATGAGACAGACCATCTGGCCTGGAAGCCTTGGCTTGCATTTCTGAGGTAGGCTGAGGAGGAGCAACCTTGCTTCCCTCTGGGATAGGGCTATGGAAGCTCGTTTCAGATAAAGAAAGTGTATCATCTTGAACCCTAGAGGGTTCCCCCTCCCCCAGATTTGTGGAGGACTGTTCAGTCCACAGCAAAATATCAGTAAAAGGGACAGTACATACGTGCACACACATCTTAGTGTGGTTAGAAATCTGAGTAGCCTGAATAACTGCACTAAGAATACTGGGGATACCCTAAATATACAAAATTGGGCAGCATGGTACAATGGAAGCAACACTGAATTTGGCATCAGAAGATCTGGGTTCAAATCCTGCCTCTGCCACTTGCTACCTACCTGTGTGACTTTGGGCAAGTCTCTTCAGCTCTCTAGGCCTCAATGTCCTCATCTGTAAAATGAGAAGGCCAGACAAGATGGCTCTTCCTGGCTCTGAATCTGTGCTCCTAAGGTAATTTGGGGAAGGCCCTGCCATTATACTAATACTGACTCATCTGCTGGTTCTCTCAATGGTTAGCAGGGAGCCCCCCTTCTAGAGCTGAGCATCTCCACTTGGGTGCCCCTCTCATCTCTGGCCTCCATACATTCCAGTGACATCCTGCTCCTGAGAAAATGGGGAAGCGGTAATTATAGTAGTGGGCCTTTTCTTATTCCCACTGGTTTGTCTTCTTTAAACCCAGATGACCTCCTCTAATCCTCACCACAACCCTGTGAGGGAGATGCTATCATGTCTCCATTTTACAGGAAGCGTTACAGTGAACAGAGTGCTCGACCCGGAGTCAGGAAGAGCAAAGTTCAAATCTTGCCTCAGACGCTTACCTAGCTGCGGTGACCATGGGCAAGTCACTTAACCTCTGCCTGCCTCAGCTTCCTCAACTATAAAATAGGAATAATAATAGTACCTACTTCTTAGGGCTGCTAGGAGGACCAAATGAGATAATATATGTAAGGTGCTTGGCAAACTTTAAAGCGCTATGTAAATGTTAATTATAATTATTATTACAGATGAGGAAACACTCTTGACATTTCGCTTTCTAGTCACATTATCCCCTGGATAAGAGTTTTTCCAGTGGTCCGAGGTCATGAAAAACATTACAGTCATTGTAGCTGCAACCTTAACAGGAGCATAGGACAGAAAGTTAATTTATTTCGGTTTAATAAGTATTTATCAAGTCCCTATGTGCCAAGTTCTGTGTTCAGCATCTGGGGCTTAATACGGTGCCGGGCATACAGAAGGTGATTAATAAATTCTTGACTTAACTCGACAAGGTGCTGAAGTACAGAAATAAAAACAGAACCGTCCCTGCCCTCAAGAAGCCTATGTTCACCGGGGGGGGGAGGGGGTGCTACAAATGTCCAGATAAGTAGATAGGAAGTAGATACAAAGTACTTCCAACAAGAGAGAGGTCAGACAACTGGTAGGATGAGAAAGTCTTTATGAACAAGGCTCCAGTTCCCAAATATCTGGCTGCCAGTTTGCGAGGGCATCTATTTTAAAATGACCTCAATTCAGCATATGAACTGGGGAGTTAGTGGAGTTCCTGTGTTTTGAATGATTAAAAGCAGTAAAATGCCCTTAGTCATTTTGAAACATAGAAAGACCAAAACTAAACACAAAAAACTCCAGGAAAGCTTTAAAACAACATCCCACATACTGACCACAGGATCAGTGGGAAAGCACTACAAAGCAAGGTCCGCGAGGGCTCAGGTGCCACGGACTCTGTCCCTCGGCTTCTCACTCACTGTATGTCACCTTGGTTATATCCTCAAACTTCTTGCTAGAGATTTCCTCAGCTTTAAAACCCAGCCAAGCAACAAACTGTTTCTGCAGAAACATGGCGATAGATGAAACGACGTTATTGGGGGCAGAATCCTTAGGGGAAAATGCGTCCCAAGAAAATGGCTGAATAATGACATTACAGCGGGGTCATGCCTGTAAAGATACAGCTACAGTCTCCCTATTCACAAGAATGTGTGTGACCTCCTTTGCACATCACCGGCATTTGCCTACGTGCCCTGACCTGTCCCATCAGCCTCAGCTGTGATGAAGGCTGACAATAAGCCAGGGAGGGTATCATTATGCCCGACGGAAAGGTCACCGGGCTCTAGGCTCAGCCCTCTCGCCTCCGATACTCTACCTGTGTGACTGTAGGGCAGGTCATCTAACTGTCACGGGCCAGGCTGCTCACATGGGAAAGGAGTGGCTTGGACGGGCCGGCCACTGAGGTTGCGGGAAAGCCTCCAGGCGGTGGCCTGGGAAGCAGGAGACCCGAGCCCGTGAGCCTGCCAGCTCCATCACTGAGGACCTTCTCAGGGAAGCCCCTCCACCTGGCTGGGTCTCAGTTGCCTCATCTAAAATGAAAGGATGGGAAAAGATCCTCTCCAGTTCTTGAACCCTACAATTCTACTGAAAGGGGCCCCGAGGGCCGCTTACTCCAACCTCCTCATCACAGAGATAATGAAACTCAGGCCCAGAGAGGTTGAGACTTATTTGTTCCAGGTCACACAGCCAGAAAGTGTCAGAGGTGGATCTGAATCCGGGTCTTCTGCTTCCAAACCCAGTGTACTTCCCAGGACACCAGATTGTCTTTTTTTTCTTTTCTTTTTTTTTGGCTAAGCAATCGGAGTTAAGTGACTTGCCCAAGGTCACACAGCCAGTTAAATGTCAAGTGTCTGAGGTCATATTTGAACTCAGGTCCTCCTGACTCCAAGGCCGGAGCTCTATCCACTGCGCCACCTAGCTGCCCCCATTTTGTCTTTACTCTGCTAGCTGGCAATGAGAGATATTAACATTCAGAGCTAAGTTACAGTAGATCAACTTATTTATTAGGTGGTTGTTT